TTAGTCAACAGAAGAGTGCGTGTGTAAAAATCCTGGGTTCAAGTCCCAAGCCCCAGCATCAGGGAGAAAAGGAAGCAGAAGGGGATGGAGGAGGGAGAGTGGGGGGTGGAGGAGGAAGAGAATGAGCATGCGCAGGAGCAACTGATTAAAAGAAGTCGCTGACCGGCTTTGAGCATCAGTGTGATTGAAATTCTCGAAGTTCAAGGAAGATTTCTGAGAAAGCATATTGACTCAACATAATTAAACTCTCAATGAAAGAGTAAAGCGTAAAAGACTCACACTTGGCATAACACAAACTAGCAAGAGTTCACTCACAATCAAGCTGGACTGCTGAGGAGCAGGGGGGAGGAGCGCTGACCTTCCTAGTCTAACCTAGGCAAAGGTTTACATCCATAAGCAACCCGGGTGCTGCTCCCTACCTGCTCCTCCCTAGCCCAGAGAACAGTCAAAGTGGACTGGCTGTGGTCCAGAAGGGCTCTAGGAACGGGCAGACCTAAGGCCTTCCAGGAAGTGGAATGTTTGTTTTGGCAGGATGCTGCAGAGAGCAGAGAAATGGCCCAGATAAAGAGATGGCATGTGTGGACAGGAAGGAAGGTTACCCTGCCAGCGCCTCGGCTCAGACAGGGACACGACAATAACGAGACCCACACTGCGTCTATTAATTCCTGACTGTAAGCAAAGGCCAGAATTCACATTGATTACTAAGACTCTTTTCCTTGTCTGCTCTTTATACAATTTTGTTTGACCAAAGAAGGAAAATTATTTGGCCTCTACCGCTTCAGGTATCGTACAGTCTCCAAGTGACTATATGCTGTGCCCTGTGGTAGTCCCGTCTAACACTTAGGATTCATATTTCATGGAAAATATTGAGAAATATTCCATCAGCAATGAATCTGCCTTCACAGCATACTGTATGTTTCCTGTGTTGTTCTTCCTTCGTTATCACCAAGGACATTCCCAAAAATACAAATCTTTTTTTCCCAAAGCAATCATATTCCTCAACATTAATCTGCTCTCAGCTTCCAAGTTGCGGTTTAATGACATCACGCTGAGTTTCTGGGGTCTTTTTTAGTGAAGTCAAAATGATGTAGAGAGAAAGTTATGTGGCAAATCAATTAAACTATAAACAAAAGGGCTGGCCTCAGTATGATTTCAAAATTTCCAGAACTCTAATCTTCTATCACTAGCTTCCCCAAACGTGTTCTCTAGCCTGCAGGCTGCTATGCAAAGACAAGTTAGCAGGCTGACAATTCTAACCAAGGTGCAAAACAATGTGTGCGCCTAAGAATTTCTAGGATGGTCACCTCCACTAATGACTTATACTGAGAAATTAACCGGGGCAATCTCATTCTCAACTTAAAGACTTCTTTCAGAGGGCTGTACAATACGACTCAACTTCTGATTCTTTCTTTTTCATAGGTTTTGACAAGGCACAAAGGGCTGGGAGATGGTCCTCCCTGGGAAGGAGCTTACTTTGCAAGCATAGAGGCTTAACCCAATCCCCAGACCCACATTAAAAAACTAGGCATGAGCTGGGTGATGGTGGCACAAGTCTTTAATCCCAGCACTGGGAGGCAGAGGCAGACAGATCTCTGTGAGTTCAAGGTCAGCCTGGTTTACAAAGTAAGCTCTGGGACAGCCAGGGCTGTTAAACAGAGAAACCCTGTCTCAAAAAACCAAAAAGAGAGAGGAGGTAAGGAGAGAGGGAAGAAGGGAAGGAGGGAGGAGGGAGGAAGGGGGAGGGGGAGGGGGGNGGAGGGAGGGAGGGAGGCGGGAAGGAAGGAAGGAAGGGAGGGAGGGAGGGAGGGAGGGAGGGAGGGAGGGAGGGAGGAAGGAAGGGAGGAAGGAAGGAAGGAAGGAAGAGCTGGGCATGGCGACACGCACTTGTCATCCCAGTGCTGGGGAGAAGGAAACTAGGCCTGGGCTCACTGGAGAGAGCCTCACCTATCAGACAAGCTCAGGACAAGAGAGTCTAGAAAACAAGGTAAACGGTACCCGAGCTTGTCCCGTGACTTCTGTATGCACAGTGACACATGCACAACCACACAGCCACAGTCACACCCATGTGTACCCATAAGCACCCACACAAACACGCAAACATACAAACACACACAGACACAAAGGGAAAAGTGGCTCTCCTTGGCCCCACTACTCCATTGCTATACCCTCCTTTCTCGGGAATGAGAGAATGAAATGTCAGCGTGGAAGCTGGGTTCAATCGTGGCACTGCACAAAAAGATTTTAAGTTCTACACATTGTCTGCTTTCCTGAACTAATAGGTACACCGCAGCTCCACCAGCAAAGTGAGTCTGCAGCTATGCAAAGCAGCTCTGCCTCATTCTGGTCTTTGAGTCCCAAGGCTTCTTCCTGGGTAAATCCTGTGATGTGGCTGACAGGCAGAAGACCCCAGGGCATGGAAATAAAGAAGCTGGGCTATGGAGTCAGCCACGTCAGGGACGCAAAGTGGCTCTGCTCTCTCAGGGCACGAGCTTTCAGAATGTGTCAGTATACACATACGTCAGCCTCCTCCCGTGTCCGCCACGCTCACTAAAGGAGAGCACACGCAGTATAGCCCAAGTGCAAAAAATGCTACAGCAACAAGGATGAAATCCTGGTTAACGGAAGGAAGCCATAACACCCTGCGCCAGAAGTTGCCATGGACAGGCAGCCCCCACATCCTACCGACCGAATCAACACTTGTGGGTGAGCAGTTCACAGTGGCACTCAGGCGAAGACTGAATTTTCCGGCTGGGTGCCTGCCTGTGCTCTAGACCTGGGGGCAGGGCTTATGGGTCCACCCGCTGGCTACTTCCCTTCCACACTTCTAAGCTCGCCCAGTTGGCCTGTCCTCCCCAGAATCCTAGCACAGAATGTAGTTCCTGGTCCCTGCCTCTCTCATTCTGTATGGTGGCATTTCAGCTAACTGGGCCAGAACCCCCAAATTGTAGAAAAGAACAAAGAAAAGGAAGGCTGAGGTAGCCAAAGATAATGAGACTCCATAATTCTGCTTTAGTCAAAGGCATTCTTAATCACTGGGAGGGTATTAGGATCCGCTTGCTTATCACCAAAATCACCATGAATAAACAAAACACAAAGGCCCCTTGTGAACAAAGCAACGACCTTCCAGCATTGCCTGTGGAGCGCACTGGTTACCGAAATGGACTCAAGTTCTAGAGAACAGGTCAACTCTATGAATATGTAGACACATGTCTAAGCACATGTACTAAATAGTCACATTCGTATCCATACACACACTCCTGCAAAACCAACTACAGGACCTCTGCTGATCTGTGTAGCATTTTGCTTCTAGTTGTTCCATGTGGCTCCACTGTCACCATAACGAGTAGAGTCTCAGCTACTTTGGAGTTTGTCTGAGATAGAATTTTACAGTAGCCCAGGTTGGCCATGAAGTCTTACTATGTAGCTGAGGATGACCTTAACTTCAGAACTTCCTGGCTCTGTCTCCCAATTGCTGGGGTTTTTGAACTGCTTTCTTCCTAAACTGAAAACCTCAGCTTCTACGTACAGAAGTGAGTTTCCATCTAACCTTCTTGTGTGAGTGCGGGAGATGGACTTGGAGGTTTTTAACTGCAGACAAAGTCTGTTTATGATGGTACTAGAAGCAGGAAATATCCCATACTAATTCAAAATGGTTGTCACTCTCTTCCTTGACTTGAAGTTTCATCAAACTTTTTCTGAATGAAGACTAAGTTTATAATATGAAAATTAATTGAAACAGCACTGGCCAGAGAAGAACAGTCAGCAAAAAATCATTAACAAAGTCATTAAATTATTCCAGTTTAACTCCAATTAAAATTCATTAGGCTTAAATCTTTAACATATGTTCATTTCTTTAAGTTATAAATTACTGTTCTTCCAATCCAAGCAGTAAAGCAACGATCTGTTGCTATGAAGGCCACTGCAGTACAGCAAAGACAACATGAGATTCCTCTCTCCTAATAGGTATTGATAAACATGGCCAGGTTTTATAAATTAATCTTCTGGTTAGATTCTGTCTAATCAATAGCCTAACACTGAGCTCAATTTCATCACAATTTACTCCCCGCCCCACAATCCAACCACTATCAAGAAGAGCTCTCATGAGCTACACTTGCAACACGGTCCAGGTGCAGGGTTGGCAACATCACTCCACAAGGAACTCCCCATGGAACTCCCCATGGAGCGGCATGCCTGAGAAGAGCTCAGCAAGGGGCCCACAGAGAGCACACCAAGCACAAGCCAGCGGATGTCTTGGACGTGGGGCTTAAAGACCTCTATCCACAGAGTCTCACTCACACATGGGCCTTGTTTAGGAACAAGATTCTGGATTCTGGGGACAGTGGACTAGGTGGCGATCTCAGGAGGGGCATTTTACATGTGGAAAAAGGCATGAACCATCAGGGGCCACAGAGTAAACAGTGGCTGGCAGCTGCCTCCTGGTATTCATGACCTTGATTTCCCATCTGCAGGAGGGTGGGGCATAGCTCTGACCCCCTCTTATCTTGAAGTTAGTCCCTCTGATGAAGCCAGCAGTCACATACATACACTACTCCATCCTCTACAGAGGTCCCCTCAGCAAGGAAACAAGGGAACATTCTACGAGGAGCCTCACAAAAGCCAAAGTCACCAATGGGGATCTGAGTGTCTAGATGCGTATCTAGCCTTGTCAGAAGACTGCAGTCCATACCCATACTTTGACTCAAGCTTTCTGAGTCCCAGAGCCCTGGGACACAGCTAAGCCACTCCCTGTCCACAGAAACTGAGGTGATGAGTGGTCTGTGTTGTGCCACTCAGCAATGGGTAACTAACAGGTATCCAGTACATAATACCCCTGGATGTATCATAATAATGTAGACTTGAGACCGACCATATGACAGAAGGATAGAGAGAAGATATATTTGCTTGTAGGAAATCATATGTAAACACTTAGGGAATGTTTACTTCCTTTACAATAAAGGGGAAACCCTTTGGTTAGAATGTTTATCGAGAACCTTCCTTACCTTGGATGCACTGCAGTGTTCCATCCTCGGCTCTTATTGTGAAGGTCTCACCCGGGTTAACTTGGACAAGAATAACCTGTGAGAACAACACAGAAACTTCCAGTTAGCACCAACACACCGCACATTCTGCTTCTCTTCCGATTTGAGATTCTCTACTTGGCAGGAAGCACATGACACCAAACCAGCACAAAATTTAGGGTATAAATCAACTCCACTCAAATTTTGGGAAACATAGGAAAATGTGCATTTGCACACAGCCTAGTATACTGTCCCATATTGTTCATATTATATAACTAAAGCTTGATTATACTACACTTTTTCTTTGGAAAATACAATTTTCTTTTCTTTTTCATGAGTTTAGACACAAACTTTAGTTATAAAAACAACACACACACAAACTTTACATACAAAAGAAAGCCGCACAAGAAATGACCATTTGCCCGGCCACCACTGGAAGACGTGGTTGCATTAAATAACAGTAGAAGGCAATTCACAAAATTAAAAAGGTTGGAAAAGAAGATCTGCATATAAAACAAACAGCATAAAATAAATGAACCTCAGCAAACACTCAAATGTTTCAATACATAACCTAGAATTAGTGTCTTCTTCACATAGACACAGATATTTAACATCGGAAAATAACCTCCAAATCACGCGATGGGAAGCCAGCATGGTGAGGCAGGATCTCTCCAGCGGCCTCGCAGATTTGGTGCGAATCAAAGGGAAAATTGCCGATTTAACACTGAAGACAAATGAGGTTCCTAACCGCAGCCGTGCATCAGCAGGGACGACCAGCACTGTCATGTTGTCCCCAGGCACTGACCACAACGCTGGCATTCCCTCACGGGCCTGGTGAGCCTGCTCCAACACTGAAATCTTCAAGAAGACCCCTTATTCCTGAGCTCGGTCCTCCGCACACAACACTGCTTCTGTAACACTAGAGTCTACTCTTTTCTCTAGAACTCATAACTGCACTTAACTAATTATTTTTAGCAGTTGCTTCCTTCTTTAACTGAGGTGCTATAAGGATAAGATCTGACTGACTAACCCCCTGGGTGACAATACTTTCCCGGAATGAATAATGGTTGCACAATCTAAGGAAAACTGTCTCAATGGATTAGTCAGGAATTAAGATTTCATAAGGTTAGAGACTGGACAGAGGGCTCAGTGGTTCAGAGAGCTCACTGCTTTTGCTGAGGACCTGAGGTCATTCTCCAAACCCACACAGTGCTTACAGTCACCTGCAGTTCCAGTTTCAGGGGCTCCAACACCCTCTCCTGACCTCTGCAGATGCGTGTGCACAATATACTCATGTGGAACCACACATATACACAAATTTAATCTTTTTATTTTAAAGGATCTCATGAGGAGCAATTTAAACATTAACTTCTTTTATGTACCACAATTTATCTACTTTGTAATGCTATTCAGATCAAAGTCATGTCATTTATAATATAAACCTTTAATATCCACATATATTGTTCAAATAGTAATTCACAGCAGGAAATAATTTTGAGGCATGAATTTCTTTTAATTAGGAAATACATTAACTGTAAAATCATCAGGATCATTCAGAGGAAAGTAGTCCAAGCCTCACCCCAGATGCATCACCTTATTTTGAAGGATAAATTGTTTCAAGATAATTTGCTTTTCCCCCATGGTACTGGCATCAATAATCTTCCAAGCTTCCCCACCCCAGTTCTCACCAATGTGAAGGTGGTGTGCGCCCATCCCAGTTCTCACCAATGTGAAGGCAGCATGTGTCCACCCCAGTTCTCACCAAAGTGAAGGCGGTGTGCCATTTTAAGAACTCAAAGGGAAATCCCTTTAGATCTCCAGAGTGATTAAAGCATCTCCGCTGTTTTCCCCAGCCGGAGGTTTTAGTCATTCCCTTAACACGGAAACCATCTGAGTCAGCTTTGTTTTTACATAAACATACATCACGGCTCTATTACACTATGCCCAGTAAAGCAGCCCTTCAATAAAGGGAGGGAAATGAGCCCAAGGAGGGAGGCCACAGAATACAAGGGATAGCAGGCAAAGGGGGAGGAACAGGGAGTGAGGTTTAAGTGGGGAGAGGGATGGAAGAAGAAGACAACGAGGGATGAAGAACAGAGACAGCAGGATGTTAAGGAAAACCACATAGAAATCTAGTACTTCATAAGCTTCCTAAATCTATTTATTGTTCATATAAAAGGGTTTGATTGGATTTAACCTACACAGGGTTAATGCTGGTCCAAAACTCCAGTGTCAGGTGCAGGAAATCTCCCCTCAGGTAGTTGGCCAGACCCCCAGAACAATATAAGCTCTCGGTTGGCCACCGGAACTTATTAGATAAAACCCTGTTGCTGAAGACTCCAGTACTCTGGTTATAGGAAATAGAGCAAACAGCTCCCTCAGTGTAGGTGAACACACACAGTACCACGAAATGCACTCTAAGCTGCAGGAGAAGGCCATCAGTGCTCTTCCTCAGCCGGGAGCCCAACAGTGGCCAGTGGGGTGAGTGTCATGGGGGTATCCGACCAATTTCTAAGTCAGAGGTCCTTTTTCTTTCATGGGCCTTTCCATAACATTGCTGGGTTGTATTCTCAGGAACACTGCTGACAGATGTGAGGAGAGAGAGTACATGAACTGGCGGTTGTCGAGAACAATCTAGGACACAGTCTGGGTGCGGGTCCACCGACATTTTTCACTGCCCTAAATCGACAGGCATTCTTTATAAACTTAGTCTTAGAAGTTTAAGCATAAAGCAGATGATTTTGATTTCATCACCATGATGCTAGAATTTGCCTAAGGACTTATAAAAATACAAGTATCGCTTTCTTTTACAAAAAAATAATACTTTAATTTTTAATTCTATCCATGTATACGATCACATTCAGTCCACACTAACTCCTCCCAAGTCCACTGTCTACTCCATGTCATTTTTCCCTGCAATAATCCACTGATTCGAATTTGTGTTGCCCAAATATTCATAGGTGTGGGACCACCGGAACGTGGCCATGCTACAAAAGGCCACACTCTCCATCCCTAGCTGCCATCAGCTGTCACTAGTTCCTCAACCAGAGGCAGGGGAATGGCACACCTTGCCTCCTCCTAGGCCAGGATGTCAAGTGACTGGAGATTGTGTGGCCATGCACAGCTGCTGCAAGCACATGAGTGCAGCTCGACTGACTGTGGCCATGCACAGCTGCAGTGAGCACACAAATGCAGCTCCACTGACTATGGCCATGCACAGCTGCAGTAAGCGTACGAGCGCAGCTGTTCTGTCACGGCCAGAAGACTGTTTCCATCCAGTCCTACCTGACCTCTGGCTCTTACAACCTTTCTGCCCCATCTTCTGTGATGGTTCATGAACCCTGAGGGAAAGGGGCGTGACAGACCCACTTACGGTGGAGCACTGTGCAGAGACTTACATTCTATGTCTTGACCCTTTGGGCTTGCTGACCACTATCCACTGCACACAGAGTTCTCTGATGAGGTCTGATCACTAATCAGGAAAGCTAAATTTAGAGGGTATTTTGATATTATGTTCATTTAGCAAACTACAATAGCAGGCTCAGCCCTGGGCCTATGAGCTTCTGACCAAGAGGTAAGAATCTTGGTCAGATTTAAAGTATCAGGCATGTATTTCCTTCTGGAGAGTAGGCATTACTCCTCTTTGACAATTCATGCTCATATGTTCTCTTTTCCCACACAACTGTCAGCAATGGACCAGAGAATACAACCCAGTAGAAAAATGATCTCTGAATTGATGTCGTACTGTCTGCCTACCAGACTGCATGAAAAGTCATTACAGCATTTTATAATCATTGATACCAGACACAGTTCAAAGCACTGAAACACCCGGCCTCCTACACACACACACACACACACACACACACACACACACACACACACACACTAGCTTACAGAGTTCAGTTCCTAATCTCCTATACTTCAATTCTTCAGGAAAAAAGATACGTAAATGGCCATCATACCAACACATCTCTCCTCAAATGTTCAGTTCATGTAATTTCACTGCTATAGAGTTGCTATGGCAACCAGATTGTAATCTACCAGGCTACCTTAGAAATGAGGCAAAGTTCATGCCTCCTAATGGCGATTTCTCCTCTCACAAGAGCAGAAGTCACACCTGGAATGGACTGCCCACTGTGCTACCGTCACTGTCAATGGCAGAGATAAAAACAGCTGTGGCACGGCAGCCCAGTGGCCTGTCCTGACAGCGGGCATGAATGAGCCACCAGCATCACCTCGCATTGTGAAGCCTGGAGAAGCGTGAGTCACCAAATCTCCTGTGCCGTGCGAGCAGTTCTCTTCCGCCACCGCCTCTCTCCCCATAGCTGCCCTCCACTGACATGGCTGTTCCGAGTTTCCTTTACTGCAGTAAGTGAAACCTGTCATCACTTCTTTTCACTCATTGGTCTACTTCTCAAAGTCAACATTAAACCAATTCACATTCATGCTATGCTGTCTGTCTTTTGTCAAAGAGGAAAAAGGATTTTTTCTGTTGCTGCATTTGAGATGGTTTCTCTGTGTAGCTGTGGCGATCCTGGAACTTGCTCTATAGACCAAGCTGGCCTCAAACTCAGAGATCTGCCTGCCTCTGCCTCCTGAGAGCTGGGATTAAAGGCACGAACCACACAGATTTTACTTTCCCAAATACAGTGACACAGAAGTAAGCTGTCAGAGCAGAAAGCAGGCATGCTTCAAACCTCAGGCTACACTGCTTCATCAGATCTGTTCCAACTGCAAATGCCACCTATGCCAATATATACATCCGTGTACACACATACACATACAAGCACACCCAAACAGAGTACATATACACCAACCACTTCAGATTCTCAAACGCATACATTCCACACACACCTCTGACATACTCATCTCTCTGGCACAAAACGCAACAGACCTCAGGTATAACTGAAGTGTACGGATCTGTTTTCTGAATTCGGTCTCTTTTCTCCAAAAGGGAAGTGATGGTTTGCAAACAACCAAAACTCACATTTGTAGCAACAATACACTCGAGGAAAACATCTTGGACTGAAGAAGCAAGCAGGCAGACCGCAAAGATGC